ATCTGCTACAGCAAGTACGCTGTTCTATTTCGTGTCGTGTGTGTGTGTGTGTGTGTGTGTCGTGCTATGCGTGTGTTGCGTGTCACGTGTGCGGTTGGCTGATCAGTTGTTGATGGCGGAGGGCAGAACGGTGATCGATTGGGCCAACGCGAAGCGAGAGGAGGAGCTGAGGCAGCCGATGAGGGACGACGCGCGGACACCCGACGAGGCCTCCGCGTTCCAGCAGCAATACACCGCGGCCAAAATGGAGGACACGGTCTGGGAGGACCTGAAGGTGCGCATAGGCGTGCCCTATCTCTTTTGCCACCAAGGCAACTGCGAGCACCGCGTCATCATCAACGACATCAGGTGCGCCGCTCTTCTGGTTTGTTGTTGCTGTGCCGTGCTGTTGTGGGCTCACCACCCGGTCGGTGGCGTTGACGATTCATCAGGCTCGCGACGAAGGAAGACGAGAGGAACAAGAACGCGTATCCGCTTCAGACCTTCCAGAGCAAGATTCGTCGCAAGAAATGCACCATCTGCGACATCTATCCCGCATCGTACGTCATGTTCACACTCTCGTCGTGTCGTTCTGCTAACAACAACCATCGACAGGTATCTGACCTACAACGACGAGCTGAGCCCACAGAACCCGTGTTTCTTCTGCGAGAAGTGCTACGCCCCGTTCCACTACGCCTACGACAGCCGCGGCACGCTCCTGCTCAACCACGACGTCTTCAAGTACCACCACGAGTAATCGCATCGTAATAGCGCACCTACCCACAAGGCGCCTCCCCCGGCCGACAGCAGCCCACCTCTCGAAGTGCTCGAAGTCAGTCGATTCGCTGCTCAGTCGTCCCGTGCGAAAGCGACCCGCGACCCACAAATAAAAACCTCTCCACCACCAAGCTTTGTTTGTTTCTTTTGATGTGTTGTTTTCGAAGGCGGAAGTTGTTGCTGTACACTCAGTATTTACAGTGGTTCGAACCAACCGGTCCGCGTGGGGGCTTCACTCGTGTGTACTCTGTGTGAAGGCGTCACGACGGCGCGTGGAGGAGACCTCGTCTGTGTCATCGGTTTGGTCCACCTCCCTGCTTGCGCCGGCCGCTGGCGACAGCGATGACAGTGAGGGCGATGATGGCGCTGATGGCGCTGACGGGGTGGTAGTGGTGGTTGGCAGATTCGGCTCGGCAGAGGCCGGGGATTCGGGCGGCGGCGGTGATGCCTGGTGCGTCGGCCGGGAGAGAGGAACGCGGTTGTGGAGGACGTTGTCGATCGTGGCATCGACGGAGCGCGTGTATCGTAGGTCGGCGGCGATCGACTCTGACGGGACGTGAGGAAAGATCTCCTGCACCGCTCGCACCTGCAGGTGGCATACAACAACACATAGTGAGTTGTGGCGTCGAGCGGTGTGACATGTCGATGAACATACCCACTCCTCGGGGGCGGTGGCCATCAACGGCCACTCGCGGGC